CTCCCTTGTGATTGTAAGCCGCCCTGAGTCCCCTCAGGGAAAAGGGCGGCCTATAAATTTTAATAAATTCAAATTTTTAATAAAATTCAACCATTTGAAGGGCTATTATAGAATGCTTCCAAGTTAATTCCAATGGTCTTTAAAGCTCAAGGGGAATAACTCATTGATCTAAACTTAATCAATCTCATTAGAACACTTCGTAGCACCTTAACTTCCATTGTTGGTGGAAAACTGGGGAGACAAGTGACGAGAACGAGTGGCACAATTCAGAGTATGTGCAGAGGGCATCTCAAATGTATGCCATGGTATGCTTCTTTTGAATACTGGCTGTTGCAATCCTAAGCAAAAACACAGAGGACAAGAAATGTAAATTGTTTGAGTGGGGAGGAATGAAAGGCACCAAATATTGGGGGAGGAGGACAGTATGGATGTGTTTAATATGCCAGCTTCTGCTTTTCTTTTACTCAAAGAAGTTCTTTCAATTCCTTTTCGTCCAATTAGCCAGAGACAAGGGGCTTCTGTACAGCAGCTAGCTAGAATAATGCTCTGCCCACTCAATCTTGTTTCCAAATTTGCCCCTTCCCTGGTGGTAAACCAGACACTTGTTCTTCTTTGAATGCACCCTTGGGCCCAATCATACAAACAGGACTTGTCTCATGGAATAGAGGGAGAGATTGGGTGTTCAGTGTGGAATTGCCCAATCTGGCTGGATCTCTTCCATTTCTTCAGAGCTGAATAATAAGAGTTGTTACTTTTCCTTTGAACAACTGGTTTCTGGAGATGGTTGAGCTTGTGCATGTGTGTCAGGGATCATTGCAAGGAAGGTATTTTTCTTATGTCAGAAAGATTCTGAGGGTTTTTTGTCTTTGTGCCCCTCTTGTTTGCTTAGGCTTTCTGGATCAATTCATATGTTGTTTCCATTGTCCTTTGTCTTTATGTTTTTTGTCAATGGATGAAAAATGCAGGGTTTTTTCCATTGTGTTCCTGAAAGTTAGGGTTTGGGAATGTTATATTCTGTCACATGCAATCCTACCTTTGCCTTATTTAGGAAATATTTTCACATATATTGCTGAGCCACAGCTCATTTAAGCATTGTTGACTGAATAAATCACAATTATACTGTTGTTGTAAGTCAAGGACTAGCTCTATATTGATGCATCTCGTCTTCTATTTATTGTAATTCAAAAACATGTATATTTTCTGTTGCTGCTGCTGGGAAGCAGCTGGCTGGCAAAATAGCCTCCCAGCTGCCGCCTCTTTGAGAGCTGCTTTGCAAAGCGGCTCTCAAAGAGGAAGCGGCTGGCCACAGGCCACTGAAAAGTCCTCCAGTCAGTGGAAAAGCTGCTGCTCTCACCATTTCTTCACACATGCACATCCCATTGCCTTTCACATGAAATATTAGTACTACTTTATACTGCACTAATAAAACCACACTTAGAATAGTCCATTTTGGTCACCAGGATACAAAAACGATTTTGAGACTCTAGACCAGCGGTCTGTGTCACTTTCAGGTCACTCCCATTCCAACTCCATGAAAGGGAAAACAATGTGAAACGTCACATGATGGCAACAAGACATCATGAGTTTGACACCCATGCTCTAGACAGAGTACACAGAAGAGCAACAGAGATGATTAGGGTACTGGAGGCTAAAATGTACAAAGGTTGCCAGAACTGGGTCTTTCTAATGTAACAAAGAGAAGGCTTAGGGCAGTGTTTCTCAACCTTGATCACCTGAAGATGTGTGGACTTCAACTCCCAGAATCCCAGGGTTCTGGGAGTTGAAGTCCATGCATCTTCAGGTGGGCCAAGGTTGACAAACGCTGGCCTAGGGGGTGACACGATCGCAGTCTTCCAATATTTGAAGGGCTGTCACAGAGAAGTGGGAGTCAACTTATTCTCCAAAGCACCCGAGGGCAGGACAAGGAGTAATAGATGGAAGCTTATCAAAGAGAGATCCAATCTACAGTTAAGGAGACATTTCCTGTCAGTGAGAACAATTAATCAGTGAAACAGCTTGTCTCCAGACATTGTGGTGCTTTATCACTGGAGGTTTTAAAGAAGAAATTGGACAGCCTTTTGTCTGGAATCATGTAGGATCTCCTGCTGAAGCAGAGGGTTGGATTAGAAGACTTCCAATGTCCCTTCCAACTCTTTTATTTTGTAATTCTGAATACATAAACTCATCCATCTCATTGTCCTGACAACAATATGGAAGTTTTGCCACTCTTCCAAGTCCTAGCTGACTTGGATTTTTGACAGTGATTTCACATGGATAGCTAGGTGCTGAGCCCAAATTATACTATCACTAAGGTGACCAGACGTCCCGATTTCTGCAGGACAGTTTTGCTTTTGAACAATTTGTCCTGCATCCCGGTTTTTTTTTAAAAAAGTCCCAATTGTTTTTAAGTTACAAAAAAGCCTCCAGCCGCCTTGAGGCTCTCCTAGCAAATGGGAGCATATATTCTTCGAGCCGAGCGCATTCCCTTCCGCGCGTCCTTGGGAGCTGATGCCAATGGCTGAGGGAGGAGAACACTTTACTCCATGTGGAGACCGCGGGCTTCCCTCACGGATTTTTCTTCTTCTGTTGCTTTGAGCAGCCCCTCCCTCCCCCCCTCTCTCTTTCTCTCTCTCTCTNATTAAAAACAATGGAATGCTGAACTAGTAGAATGTTACCAGTTAATTTCATATGAGACAATGGATGGAAAAGCTAAGAGGGAGCAAAAGGCAGTTGACAAAAGTAAAAGGAATGAGAAGAAAAAGAAGAAGAGATAGTTAATACATAGCAAAAATACAACCCTTGCACAAAACCAGGTAGTGATTCTGTAAATCATGAAATTTTGTGCCTCTAAACATCAACTTAGTAATACTGTTTTAACTGCTTATGAACAGTTCTCCAAATAAATGAAAGCCAGAACATAATATTTCCCTACATCTAAGACACAACTGTCAGGAAAACATCTGACAAAAGAGAACAACAGGAATATCAACATGGGAACCTTGACTATTTTGAGCATTGCCAAAGTAAACTTAGAAGAAATTATGCCATTTCTCACCAAGTAAATCCACTTTTGCTACAAGATTCAACTATTAATGTTATCCACAACTACGACTGCTGACCCAGTCAATGGATCAGATTAAGAATTAGATTCTGTATGCCACTCTAAACTGCAGAAAGAAAGAAAAAATAAGAAAGCAGTGAACATGTAGTGCTTTGTTCTATGTAAAATAGTGAGAAAAAATTATGGCATCACTTCTAGCTCCTTCAGTGCAGGAGAAACGTGAAACCCCATGTAACAGAATAGAATAAGATTCTTTCTTGAAGTCAAAGACCAGTAACCTGAATGGCCTACAAGCAATAAACTGTTCAGAAAATGTATCAGATATCAACACAATAAAACAGATAACAGAGCATTCATCATCTGTTGCCAGTTCTCTGTCTTGTCACCTGCATGGAAACTAGTTTTGGATCTCCATATGAAAGTCACCTCAAAGATGTAACATGTTAACTATGGGGCTATGAATAAATCTCACTGCTCTTTAGTTACATCAAGAAAAATAGTTAAAAAAAAGTAGGTTCAGAAGCAAGAGAAAATTTTAAAAGAAATTAGAAGCATGTAGATATATTTGCTGGAAGTGCTAAACACAAACTAAGTAAATTAATATAATGCTCTATTCCACAGCAGTATGTGGAAATGGAAGCAGCAAAACAGGGTAACTAAAACATCCAGTCACCTTTGTTAGGTGCGGTGCCTGAAGTATCTACCTTCTCCAAGTTGGCTAAAATAAGAGATAAAAAATATGTATCACTAACTAAATAAACATATACATTTATACAAGAATGCAGCTGCATTTGATTCTATGAGCCAATTTACCAAATCCCCCCTCACCCACACCCCAAGAAATAGCATATGGTTCCTATGTTTGGCAGTTGCGCCATTTCAGAATGAAGGAAGAAACAATTTAAATTTCTCCATCTTGCCAGAACAAGTTAAGCATATTTCTGATCTCCTAAAAGGAAGTGTGGTTGTATTCTGTCTGTTCATTTAAATTTTATATAGCTTAAACATGGATGCAGTATGTCAGCTGAAAAGCAAACATCAGGAATGAAGACTCAGAATACTCTAAGTGGAAAGATATTTCTGACTCAACTGCAAACATGCTAAAGAGAACATCCAGAATCGTGGCTCTATTATATGATGCTAATCATTACATCCTCAAATAAAAACAGCTACAAGTAAACCAGGAGCTATCGGAAGAAAATCATGTTCTAAAACATGCCTCAGTAATGTATGTGTAGCAATAATGTGTAATTCTGACTCATGCCATCTTCCGAACTCTAGTAATAGTTAGCTGTTGAGGGCTAGGATAATTATTACTATGAAACTGCTGACAAGTCAACAAACACAATGTAAGATTTGTACTGTTTTGTCCATTCCGCTACATCTGTAGACATTCAGAGATATTTTCTTCTGTACTGTTTACCTAAATTAGCTTCAGGCGATACACTAAGGTAATCGACACTTGGTCCATATTCTGGATCTTCTAGAAATATAAAAACAAACAAACCAGCAAGCATATAAATGTTAAAGATTAGTACGGTTCTAAATCCTTGATCCACATACAGTCAATTCAGCTTCCTGTTTTCCCAGTCAGTCTACTTCTGTTCTTACCTATTTGAATTAAAGGCAGCCACAGTATGCTGAAAATGTATCTTGATCTGAACTGATTACAATAGGCAAATTTAAAGTATATTTTTATCAGAACCAGTCATATTTCTACAACTTTTCATGTGTGACAATAACTGGCATGGGTTATAAAGCAGCAAAACTCACCTAGTTTTGTGTAAGTACTTTTGTATATGTTTTTAAAAGCACTACAATTGATAAAAGCTATTTATCCAACAATCTTATAAAAACACAATCAACAGGATTTAGGGATTTTTACATATTTGCTACCTTTTGTCACACATTTTAGAAATGAAGTTGATAAACTATACCATCTTTGCTTTCTGAATTATTTTCTGAAGAATTCTGCAGTGGATTAATTTTTTCCTGTGGTGATGATTCCAGGTTACTAACCTACAAAAAAGAAAAAAGAAATAAAAAACAAGTTATTAGCAGTGTTGAAGTCCAAAGAATTAAAATTAAGCTCATCAGAATTAGTTTAGTTACAGACTAATTTTCATGTATATAAGATATTAAGATATTACACGTTAAGAAGTTCTTCTGACATCTCATTCAGAAATACAGCTGAAAAATCCTATCGGATATGAATAATGAGGAAGTTTTAGTTTGAAGTCCCAGGTAGTGAGTGTAGTGAAATATTTTACTATCAATTTGCTTGTACAAAAAATGCATTTACCAGTGGTGGGTTGCTGGAGGTTCGCAGGGGTTCGGACAACCTCTAGATAAGATTCTGTGCAATTCGGAGAACCCCCAAATCCCACTGCCCACCCAGCCCCGCCCCTCCCAGGAATTGCCATGTGGCCTGTTTTGGATGAAGGTAAGTGCAGGCGCGCGCAGAGGCTTGGGGAGGGTGAAAAAGGGCCTACTGGAAATTTAGGATGGCTGGAAACAGGCCCACTTCTGGCCTCCAGAGCCTGAGGAGGCCATTTTCGCCCTCCCAGAGGCTCAAAGAAAGCCTCCTGCGCCCAGGGAGGGCAAAAACATGCCCCCGCTGTGGTGCAGCAGGCAGAATAGGCCATGCCCACCATGGCCACGTCCACCCAGCAACCAGGCAGAGAACCCCTTGCTAAAATATTTGAAGCCCACCCCTGATTTAGCTGTAAGATTTCTTCTAACCCAAATTAAATGGATTTGTATTTGATCAGAATTCAATATAGTGAGCATGTGAAGTTTTAGTGAGCATGTGAAGAGAGTTCGAGCAAGGGCTTGAAGGGAATTCAACTGAGACGAAACAGGACAAGGAGAGAGAGCCAGGAAGGTGGAAGGGCTGCTGACTGCTCAGTGTGTGACAGATATTGCTTGTTGCTGACTTAATTGTGAAATAGGTTCAGGGGACAAATAAAGCAGCCAACGTTTCAATGAGCAAGCTTGCAGAGTGAACAAACAGGATCTTTTTTTGCATGAAGACAAACAGAATTTCTTTTTATGACCTGCAGAGAATGTGTCATGTTTGCTTTCCTTCCACAGACAGAATTTATACATGTTATAAATGAAGGGCCAGATGTTCTCCTGGAAGACGAGGTAAGGCACCCTGAGGCAAAGCGGTTCGTCTTCTATTTTATCAGGGGTAATGAGGAACTCTTGAATCAGATATAGGAAGCCCTTGAAGAGGGGAAAATGGCATCAAGGAACTTCCCAGGACAGAGAAGGCAGTAAAAAAAAATGAATGCAGAAGAGGAGGAATATGGTGTGTATGGGTGTGTGTGTCTGTATGAGTCTATGTGTATATATGGATTAGAGAACAAATGAAAGTATACAATATCCTCAAGAGAGTAAAATAATGGAAATGGAAATGGGCTGGTCACATACAAGAACTGATGGTAGGTGGACCAAAGCAGTCATAGAACAGATCCCACTTGATAAAAAAGTGTCCACAAAAGAAATCTAAAACAAGATGGATCAACGGCATCGGCAAGTATTGTGGGCCCAATTGGCATGATGATGATGAGGAGGTGGAGGATAATGAGGATGATAAAGATGATGATGAGGATGTGGAGGATAATGAGGATGAGGATGATAGGCATTTAGAAAATAACTTCTTGGATTTAGTATGGATTTGTCAAAAATAAATTTGGCCAGCGAATATCATATGACCCTGGGATTGTGATGGACCTAGCCTATTTTGATTTGGGCGATCTGATAAATTCCCCATTAGGTTCTACCCGAGAAGCTGACAACATGTAAATTAGAACATGACTATCTCTAGATGAAAACGAGATGACTGAACAACTGTAACCAATGGATTAAGCTGGAAGGCATTGGACTGCTTATCACAGGACTTTGTTCTAGGCCAGAGATAGGAAACTATGGCTGGCTCATGAATAGTGGGAGTTGAAGTCCACAAGTCATAAAAGGGCCATCATTCCCCACCCCTCTTCTAGCCTTTGTGCTACTCCAACACAAGATTTCAGGAGGGTCTGGAAATCAGCATAAAGAATTTTAGCATGGTCTATGTCACTTCAACAGGAAAAATCAAAGGGAGAAGCGTAGGATGAGAAGCAGTACTTACTGTTCCTTTTTATTCACCATTGATCAGAATGTAGCTAGATCAGTGATGGCTAACTTTTTTGTTGTCGCGTGCCAAAAGCACATGCATGCATACGGAAGCACGCCCCCCACACCCTTAATGCAATGAGTGTACAACCCCCACTGCCTCCCTGCGCATGCGTGATCCGCCCCGTGCTCCCTGCAGCCTCCTGGGAGCAAAAACAGGCTGCGAGGAAGGTGCGCCGTATCCCCCACCCCCGTGCATGCACGCGCAACCCCCCCTGTGCATGCACACACATCTCCAGCATGCGTCGTCCCTCGCGCATGCGTGACAGAGCCCGAAAAACAGCTGGCCAGCACAAGGCGCACACATGGTGGAGCTGAACTGGAGTGACAGCTCCTGTGCCCAGAGAAAGGGCTCTGGATGCCACCCGTGGCACGCATACCAAAACCCATCCAAGATGACTGAGAGGCTAAAAAGAAGAACATAAGAAGAACTGCTCGAGACATTGATTTACTTAACTTGGAGAAGACTTTGGGGAGACCTGATCAACTTTCAGCAGTTTACTGTGACATACGGGAATGTGACAGGGGTGAACCAATATTTTGGTTGCCGCTGAGACATCTCTAATGATGTCCACGCTACCTTACCTCCCATTGTTCACATATAGATACAATTCCATGAAATGAAAAACTTTTCAGATATTCTATACCCGAGTAGAGACGTGAGAGGCAAAGAAGTCTTCTTCTTTCTCTTGAGGTGATAAAGGAGGGGCTCCGGAGCCATCTATCCATAACTAAAATCCACAATAACATAAACATAAGTGAGACATTTGTCAGGATTCTTTGCTTTTCTGTTTGTTTAAAGTGCTTGCGCTACCTTTTTCTTCTGTTTCCTAACGTAGAAAAACTGTTCAATCGGTTTTTCTGAAAACCATTACACAATACTGGACAAATTGGCTGTGAACAAGATGAAATTGCGGATGCCTGTAATTATAAAGCTTTTGGGATCAAATTCAGAAAGGGTATTCTGGAGTGTATCCATTACAGCAGTGTTTCTCAACCTTGGCAACTTTAAGTCCTGTGGACTTCAACTCCCAGAATCCCCCAGCCAACACAGCTGGCTGGGGAATTCTGGGAATTGAAGTCCACAGGACTTAAAGTCGCCAAGGTTGAGAAACACTGCATTACAGGAAATCCTTGACTTACAACCATCCATTTAAGGATTGTTCAAAGTTACAGCAGTGAAAAAAAAGTGACTTATGGCTATTTTTCCCACATATGACTGTTGCAGCATCCCCGTGGCCATGTGATCAAAATTTGGACGCCTTGCAACTGACATGTATTTATGATGGTTGCAATGTCCTGGTTCATGTGACAAGACAAGCACAGTCAATGGGACAGTCAGACGCACTTAACAACTGTTTTCCTAACTTAACAACTGCAGTGATTCACTTAACAACTGTGGCAAGAAAGGCTGTAAAATGGGGCAAAACCAGGGGCGGGCTGCTGGGGATTCAAAGAGGTTCAGGAGAGCCTCTAGCTAAGATTCTGTGCAGTTCGGAGAACCCCCAAATCCCACTCCTGGCTGGCCCCACCCACCCCACCCAGGATTCTCCATGAGGCCCATTTTGGATGCAGGTAAGTGCAGGGCACGCACAGAGGCTCAGGGAGGGCGAAAAATGGGCCTACTGGAAGTTTGGGAAGGCCAGAAATGGGCCCGTCTCCAGCCTCCAGACGGCCTGGGGAGGCAGTTTTCGCCCTCCCAGAGGCTGGAGGAAAGCTTCCTGACTCCGGGGAGGGCAAACCCCCACTCCCGTGGTGCAGGAGGCCGACACATGGCCATGCCCACCCAGCAACCAGGTAGAGAACCCCTCGCTAAAATCTTTGAAGCCCACTCCTGGGCAAAACTCATTTAACTATCTTGCTTAGTAACAGATATTTGGGGCTTAATTGTGGTTGTATATCAAGAACTATCTGTATAGTTCTTTAAAGCAGATGGACTTCTGCCCAGGTTCTCAGCCCCAGCAAGTAGGCTCAATCATTTCAGTCAAACACAACCGTTTTTGCAAATTAATTGTAGGGATCCAACCAGTTGTATGAACACTGCCGTACAACAAGAACAGCATGGTGTATTTTATCTTTGCATATGAACTGGTTATAATAAGCAGAAAAGCAAAGCTTAAAGACAATAGTACTGATATTAAAAATACAATATTGCTTTATCTTTTCAAATAACCTGCAACATTTTGACATATATGAATACCATGATGCCAATACCATATCATGTTAGCTTTATAAACTTTCAGGTGGCCGAACAAGACAAAATCAGTAAGCACTGTAAAATATGTACATGACTTACATCTGTGCCATATTTCCGTGTTGCCTGAGCTGCAAGAACTCTAATCTTGTCCCGGTAGAGCTGTGCAGTACGACTGCCATACTTGGCATTGGTGTCATTTGTGGTGCAACCATGCTGATGAAAGAATGCAGACTAAAAAGAAAAACATCGAGAAGATGCGCTTTTAAAAAAATATTTTAAAATCCTCTTGATTATATACAAAATAAATATGGGACTAAGAAATTCCAGATAGCCTATGCTTAAGATCAGGAATGATTTAAACTGTTTAAAGTTGGCTTAGCAAGGAGGAGCTAAGTTCAATGTAAAGATGTTATTAATTTTTTATTTTTTTTAATCAATATATTTTAAAATAT